GCTCAGGATGGGCTTGGATTTTATTCGAGCTTTTCTAGCTGGACGACAGTTCTAAGCGTTCGGTCTCTGTTCAGGTGGTTTTGGTGATGCTGAATTGAAGACTCTCACCCCTCACAACTTTCGTAATCATTTTCTACTCTTTCTCTGCATGTTGCTATTCTAACAGTCGATGATGTGTTATTCTGGAAAGGCATGGTCATAAACAAGCCTTAATATATTTAGGCACAGCTTCAGACAAAATAGGTGTGCTGGCTTGTATTGTTATTGGTATCCTTGAGTAGCGTGCAAAATGTAATGTATGCTGAAGTTTTCTTCATACCGTTTCCTTTCACGTGAGTTTCTTTAAGGGCGAATAAGAGTACCCAGATATTAACAATAAACCCAGATATTTACAATAAAGTCAGCCATTAGTATCTGATGAGATCAATTATCCAGAGCAACTATACGCGTTACTTCACTTATGCACTGGCACGTCATAAAGCTTCTCCGACGACGATAGCCGCGAGGAAGAAGATGCAAATGAGGAGGGCTGTAAGGTCACGGAATGGAGCGTGGGAGAAACAATGGGGCACGCGGCGAAGGTGCCAATTGGGACGAAAACATATCGGGGGACGCAGGAGGACTAGATGAGAACCGTATCCACTTAAAATATTTGAGCCATAAAACCAACTCTAGCTGTACTAATCGTAGGTAATTCTGTCGTTTTCCAGCGTCCTAATCGCACGGTTACCAACCATCATCCTTCGTAAACTCTCGGGCCGACGCTCATCGCCTCTGCAGTATGAAATGGCAATGTTCTTGCTAACTTACTCCAAAACAAAAATGAAATAAGCGACTGGCTTGAATCAATGCTGTTGGGCAGCGCCATCTTTTTTTTCCGATCACCATCGACTAGTTTTCCTCCATGCGTCTTCTTATGGTGTTGATTATGATCTAATTGAGGGAATGTAGAATGAATTTGGAGGAGGCGAGCAACTCATTTGCCCTAACGGTCCACCCTGACTTTCATCTAAAATGCTTCATTTGGTTCTGCTGATAAGTTGTTGGAACACCCTAAGATTTTTCTAATACATATATAGAGAGTTCCGTCATGCGCTCCGAGAAAAAAAATGGTGAAATATTTACTTAGCGTCCCGTTCGGTGGAAGCGCTTTTGGTGATGGGATGAAGCTTCCTAGTCCACGTTCAAGCCAATGAAACAAGCCAATGAAACATTAAGTAATTCACGGTCACGTCTAAATGTTTCATGAAGTGATTATGCGGGAGATGTGCAGCGGATGATTATCAAATGTATTTAAAAGCTGCTGCAGCATTGGTTGTTGGATACGTACTTCAATAAACTCCCATACATTGTAGAAGCTCTGCGTTCCGTTCCATAAAATGGTCAGAAGGGATCTAGGAGAACGTAAGGCGCTCTGCCACATTTTTCAACTCAGGCAGGCCCTAGTGTGTGTGTGATTCATCAACTCTTTTAGGGGGTCGTAATATTGAATGTTTACTTACCGCCAGCTGTCCAAGAGCCAACCAATCAAAATTCATCAACAGATTTATTTATATTAGGAATATAATACACCACGGTTTAAGAACTTCAACAAGTCCCTTTATAGCTCAGTTGGAAGAGCATCTGACTGTAACGTCCGGTTTCTACTGGCCAAAGTCATCAGGAGGTCCCCGGTTCGAACCCGGGTGAAGGGAAATCAAACAATTTTTTTTCCGCATTTAATCTTTTAAACCTCTGCTCAGCTCGACGATCGACAGCCACACACACATTGACTACCATCCGTCACTTTACTCCGCCTGGTCTTCTTTCCCTTACCCACTTGGGACTGGCCGCATCCTCGCCCTATCTTTTTACCAACTTCGGATGGTGCCTAGCTATTTTTTGGTGTCGAAATGCAATCCTCTGGCTTTTTGACTGGCCAATCTGCCAGACTCGCTCCACCCACGTCACGTCATCAAGTACTGGGACGC